GGAAGGTGGCCATGACAGTATGGTTGGAGCCTCACCTGTGATACAAATAGAAAGCAAGTAGATGTTGATTGTAGCTCCATTATGACATTCTTTAATGTACTTGGTAGATATCCCTGATATGTATACCTATATATGAAAACCTCATTAAAAATATTGCAGGAATATAGAAAAATATCATTAAAAATAAACCAAACAAAACTATGATTTCTAAATGGTTGAAGAATAAACTATCGATCTATTTTAAATGTTGTGATTATGCAGTGGGCTATAGTTCTCCAAAAAGGGCAGATATTATTAGAAAGCAAAAAACAATATTTCCAGGATTTGTTATATCTCAGATTTTGCCATATAGAAGCATATTCAAAAGAAGAATAGAAAAGGTAAAGATAATTTTATGGATAAAGTCATTTTAGAAAAATGAGCCTTCAAATTGTACATCTTCCAATATTTGACTGATAGAATCTGAATATAGTAATTTTTTATTTGCTTTATAGTGTAAATTTTATTTGCAAAGTTAAACAGAAATAACTCATGGAAAGAAACACAGACATTTGTATTGAATAAAACAAAGACAGATACTATATCCATTTTGCCATCCACCCATGGCAAAATCTAGATGAATACTTCTGATCATGATCCCTGGGGAACTCTGGGAGTTGAAGTCCACATATCTTAAAATTGCTAAGATTGAGAAATACTGCTCTAGAACAGTGGTTCTCAACCTTTTTAATGCCGCGACCCCAACTGGTCGTAAGTCGAGGACTACCCAACCGGTCGTAAGTCGAGGACTTTCCCTGCCCGGGAGCGCCGCACATGCGTGGTGCCGCCCCCTGTGCTGGCTGAGGCGTAGCTGGCAAGGGGCAGCAACAGCGCAGGGCAACCAACCACCGGTTGGGCCACCAGCTGGCCCAGCCCAAGGGAGGTAAGGCACCCCACGTGCGCTAGCAAACTTCCCTGCACCCGCCGCTGCTCTAGAATGATTACTAGAAGGTAGCAGAGAGTTAGTTATTTTCTGTAGCTCTTTGCTGCCATCTAGTAGCTACCTTAGTCAATGTGCTGGAGGCTCATTGCTGCATTCTCCTTGCAGCTTGCTTCTTTTTTTAAAACAATTTTTTTTGTTGTTAATTGCGAAGTCGTGTCCGACCCATTGCGACCCCTTTTAGTACTATCCATGGGGTTTTCATGGCAAAGATACTGGAGTGGTTTGCCATTTCCTTCTCCAGTGGATCACATTTTGTCAGAACTCTCTGCTATAACCTGTCCATCTTGGGTGGCCCTGCACGGCATAGCTTATAGCTTCATTGAGTTACGCAAGCCCCTTCGCCACGACAAGGCAGTAATCCATAAAGGGGAAACAATTTTTATTAAGACTTTTAAACAAGTAGATAAAAATTAACAGAAACCAATAGGCAGTAAGCATGGGAAAAGAAAGAAATAAATTAAAAAGAAAAAATTTCAGAAAATAAAAAAGTTAAGAAAAATAGAAAAGGAAGAAAAAATATAAATTGACTTCCGATATTCTTCACAGCAATTACGAGTATAAATATAGTTTAACCTCTCTCTCTAAAGTTACATTGTATTACTCTTTCTATAATTAATCCTGTCTAATCATCAAAACTGAAAATCATAAGTTCATTTTTTTTCATTTTTATGCAAAAAAGTAAGAGATTTCCAGTCAGCAATAAATATACATAATGTCTTTTCTCTAACCAAATAAGTTAATTTATCCATTTCAGCAAATTCTGTCAACTTCATCAATTGTTCCTCCATAGTGGGTAATTTCTTTCCATCTTTGTACATACAATAATCTTGCTGCTGTGATCATATATTGAAATAATCTTCCATGGCTTTTTTAAATTGCTTTTTCATTAATTCTAAAAAGAAACATTTTGACTTCAGCCGAATATTAAGATTTAAAATCCTCTGTATCAAATTATGTATCTGTATCCAATTTTTCTTAGCTTTTTACATATTCATCAAGCATGATAAAATCTCCATGTCATTCACATTTCCAACGTGCATTTGAAATGCCTTTATACATTCTAAATAATTTCTCTGGTGCATGTACCAACAATACATCATTTTATATAAAATTCTCTTTGAGATCATAACATAATGTAAATTTCAACCCTTTTAATTACATATTTTCCCTTTGATCCGTTTATATGATAACCAAACTTTATCATACATTCTTTAACCTGTTATTCCTCTGATTCAAATTTCAACAAAACTACATTTTACATACTCATCATGAATACCAAATGGCATTTCAAATTCTCACTTACTCTGCTCCATACCATAAATATTCATCCATTTGAAATCTTTCAAATAACTGTAAATTGGAGAACCATTGACAACCATATGATGCTGCTATTAACCTTTCTCTTGATGTTAAATTCCCCTTATGTATTAATTTTCCAATAAGTCTTGGTATATCAAACATTTATCTTTATTGGCCCTTTCTCTTTTTTAGTATGCTTCTTGAGCTAAGATCCACAAAGCTATTTTGGGGCACAATCTGGGTTTATATCTATTTCATATTCTCAAATATGACACGTCTAATAAAATAATGTTTGAAGTCCACCCTAACTTTAACTTTATTATCTCATAAGTACCCATGCCACCCAAACCTTCTAACTCTAAAAGTCTCTTATTTCTCAGTCAATCCATTCTTTCATGTAGACCAAATAACAAGCAGCACTGAATATGCTGCAGAAGATCTCCAGGTATTTTTCCCCCCAAAGACTTCAAGGCCTGGCCAGGGACTCTATTCCTGGGTTCCCAAAGTCTGACTTGACTTTATTTATCCCACTGAGTTATATAATAACTGAGCTATTATAATTAAGAGACTTTTTTTATACTTGTGTGAATTGATTTTCAGGTTGCCTTCTTTGACTGACAACGCTTGGGTATTGTACTTACTAACATATGTATATTTTCGGATTATTTTTTACATCTTTTTCAGGCTAATGGCTGTTTATATTAATGGGCAGATTTAAAAACAATTCCTCACATCTTTATGCTTGCTTGTGATATCTTCCGTATAGTTCCCAGAGACTGGTTGCATAAATCTAATTGACCATTAGATGGCAGCATCTAAGAAGATATTTTTCTATATCTCTTGACTGCCATCTAGAAGTTATCTGCAGCTGGGTAACTCAGATCAGGTACTCCAAAATAGGTAAAGTTGAGGGCTGAAGAGAGCTGGGGCTGCACACTGAGCCAAGTATTTATAGTAATCATTTTGTGAATGCAAGATCAAGTGATAATCTCTAATTTTGTAACAAACATAATTTATCAAATACTGGTGATAGAGCTTTCATTATGTATCCACAGATGAAGTGTTATCCAGTACTTTATGATGTAGTGGTTAAGGCAGTGGTTCTTAAACTGGGGGGTAATTTGGGGATTTTCTGTGGATCATGGAAATGCTTGCTTGTGAGTGGAAGGTCCAGTTTGAGACTGCCGCCGCCAAGATGCTTGTATAAAATAAAGGAGTCTTGGATGTCAGAACTGAAGAAGCTTCTTGGATGAGAAGCAAAATGTCTTCAAGGCAAAACAAAGTCCTGTTGCCTTCTGAAAAAGCACCTTTGGGACAAGCTTGACCTGGATGATTGAGAATCTCCATAGATATGGGAGGAGGGAGCAAACAAATTAAAAAGAAACAATATGCTATGTACTGGGCACCATAAGAAGTGTGTATAGATGTGCTTAAAGAGGTAGCAGATAAGGACTGTTTCTCTACCATGTTGTCATTTGGTCTGCTTTGGATGGTGACTAATTATTATGTCAGCGTTAGCAAGTCATATCATTTGGGGGCAGCAGCAATAGTTCATAGCAGATGGTTGTATTTCTTAGGAACCGATCTCTAGGACCCAGTGAAAAAGGAAAACAATAACAAACAAATTCAAGTAGATGTTTTCTGGATCAATAGTCTGTATGTTATCAGCGATGCTAAAGTTTACTCTCTTTGTCTCTAAGCTCTCCTGGCCTTTTAAGTTAGCATCTTCTCTCTGCAGGTAAGGAAGAGCACCACAAACAGGAAGCTTGTTATGTATTCCTTGCATGTCTAACTGCAGAACCAATTGCAAGCTGCTGTACTCAAGCCCCCCCTCCACCCCCTGCCCCCCCACTAGGTTCAGAAGAGGTTTACCTCAAACTGTGAAAATGGATGCTTCATATTTCGACTGAAAAGGGTAAATCAAACAAGGCCTTCTCCACACATGGATCCATGTTTGGATGGATGATGCCAGACATTCTGTAGTGTTGGAAATGCTTCACATACCTGGCCTGGTTATACTTTCATCCAGGTCTACCTTACATTCATCTTCCTAATATGGTTCACCCACCCACCCCTGCTATGATCTCAATAATGATTTGCTGTTCAAACCTATTTGCATGAGACATCATTCTTCCTTCCCTGTATTGCAATGCAAGGATTCAGGAAATGCTGAGCTATAGCATGAGGTCTAGGAGAAAGGAGCTATTGGATATGTATGGATGATAGACGACACTAAAACAGGATGCTTTTTAAGGGGATCAGTAGGATTAAGACGTGGAATTCTGTAGGACAGCTAAAATAAAAATTAAACTGCTGGGGCTATGGTTTGAATTGATACCTCTTTATGATCTTGGGTAATTGTGAAGTGGAGATTAAAAAAAAAACAAATCTAACATCAAGCTTGGATGTGTTTTTGTTCCATTTTGTGCGTCTAAGGGTTGTAAGCTATCTCTACCATTTTGCATTCAGAAATATTGCCTTAAAAACCTTCCATTCCCAAGGGGGCTGGATTCTCTTAGCAATTCAAAACAGAAGGAGGAGGGAGGAGGAGAGCAAAAGAGGGAGGGTGAGAAAGGAGCATCTCATTGCCTCTGGTGACTTTGTGTTGGTAAACAAGGGGTTAAGTATAACAGTTGAAGGCTGCAAGCTTGTCAGGGTTGTACTATTTTTCTAAGGCATAAGAAGAAGGGAGGTTAGGAGAGAGGAGGCAGTGGGGAAATCCAACAGAAGTCGATCTGCAGCTAAGCCTTCCAGACTGTTGATATTTATTGGCATTCAGGAAAAGGACTGGTCAGCTGCATGAAAAAATCTCTTTCTCTTAGGAACTCAGATTAAAGAGCAAGGTTTTACTTGCCTCCCCTGCCTTCATTCTTGCATCCTGGCTGTGAGTGAGGAAGGAGGGCAGCTGTCTTCTGTGGAGGATTGGAAGCCAGGGAGTTTCTCCTGGGAAAGGAGAAAGCCTTTGGTTGTTCTTCTGAACAATAAGAATTAAAAACAGTGTCCTGAAAGAAGAGGGCAGGATAGCAGCCTGTAGCTCTAAGGGCATTGAGCATCCCCTCCCAGAAGTCCAACCGGAGGCAGGAGGACCGGTGATGCAGCATCCTGCGAAGGGCAGGGCAACCCCAGGAGGGGGGCTGGGGGGGATGAGATCTTGCGTGCACATGGGATATTCTTCAGGTGCTCAGAAGCAAAACATCCCCGGTCATGCCCTACATGCCAAATGAAGTCCGGTGCTTCTTTGATGGGAACCAGGACACAGCTGGCTGAGCAATGCATGGCAGAGCCCACGATGCTCTGTTTTTTTTCCTGAAAAGGAAGCTCAGCGGAGACTACACTGCAGCGGACTCTGCAACAGCAAACAGCACAGATGCCAAATGATGTGTAGACTCCTGCCACTGCAATGTGAGTGTGTGTGTGTGTGTGTGTGTGTATGTGTTTGTCTTTGGATGTGTATGTACATGGTGTCTAGGGAAGAGAAAATTTTTGAGAAAAAAAGATGTATCTCTATTTTTCATGTTGTCACAGTTGCTTCTCTTGTTTTATCCAGGATAACTAGAACCTGTAACATAACTCAGTGAGCAAAAAGCTGCATTTAATAACTGAATCTTTATCAATGCTCTTTTATAGCCCTTCCTGTTTTAGCAAATAGCTGGTTTCCAAGCAATGTCATACTTCTTGAGGACACTGGGGACATCAGGTTTTTGCTGAGTATGGGATCTTCCCACAATCATAAAGAAAGGTTTTCAGTTCATATAGACACTGCCTTAAAGAAAAGGACCGGAGTCCTCTTTTATTAAGCAACCCCTACTTCAGTATTAGACCTAGCTTCCACTTTCAAGACTGATCCTTCCTTCTCTCCCTCCCTCCCTCCCTCCCTCCCTCCCTCCCTCCCTCCCTCCCTCCCTCCCTCCCTCCTTCCTTCCTCCCTCCCTCCCTCCCTCCCTCCCTGACTCAATACATTGCCAGAGAACTTAGAAGACTCTTGGAAACATGAATCTCTGTGTTTCTCTTTAAGGTCAGATAATCAGTGTCAGAGACTGAGGTAATGTGAATTGTTTTTCATTTGCTGTTCTTTCTTTGGCAACGACAGAAGATGAACTTCTATTCAGAACTGCAGTAAGAGCAAGGGGAGACCTTGCAAAAACAATGGAAAGAAGTAGGAAGAGAAGGAGAGCGAGGCTGGGTTGTACAACTGAGAAGTGAAAATCTAGAATGCACTATGTTAAAGATGCATTCCAGTGTTTGACATAACAGTTTAACTCAACCTCTGAACCATCAAGGCAATTCCTCAAGGTGAATGCTGAGTCTCAGGTGCTGTGTGGGTCATCTTGCTGCTTTAGTACAGGGAATGAAGCTTGATAGGACTTTGAAGCTTTTAGAATATGCTGTGATGTCTGGGATAAACAATGCTATTATTTGCTACTTGCCAATTAGAAAGCTTCTGTATTTCATCTTGTATCTTTATTTTCTTAAATGATATTGCTTTTGCATGATTTTAGATCACAGGCCTTCTTCAAGTTATACAGACCAAATAAATTCAATTAAAATGTTGTACAATGGAATGTACACACATTTTGCCAAGAGTGTGAGAGAAAATGCTTATATTATTATTTCTATTTTTTTCAGCTGACAGACTCTTTTCACAAACTCCCTGTTTTCATGAACTACATCAAAGCCCATGTGCGTAACTTTCCAGTGGATATTAGAATCTCAGTTAACACCTCCCAGCCACCAGATATTCATAAAACTTTTGATTAAAACAGCTTAAATATGACTGTTGCTACTGGAGATCCCACAGATGAAGCAGCAGCTTTGCCTGGTCATCCTCAGGACACTTATAACCCAGAAACTGATCATGAATGTTGCGAGAGAGTGGTTATTAATATCTCGGGCCTGCGGTTTGAAACACAACTTAAGACACTTGCTCAGTTTCCAGAGACCTTATTGGGAGATCCTAAAAAGAGAATGAGATATTTTGATCCTCTCCGGAATGAATATTTCTTTGACCGAAACAGACCCAGCTTTGATGCTATTTTATATTACTACCAATCAGGTGGCAGACTAAGACGGCCTGTTAATGTACCCTTGGATATCTTCTCAGAAGAAATAAGGTTTTATGAACTTGGTGAAGAAGCTATGGAGATGTTTCGGGAGGATGAAGGTTACATCAAGGAAGAAGAACGGCCTTTACCAGAAAATGAATTTCAGAGACAAGTATGGCTTCTTTTTGAATACCCAGAAAGTTCTGGACCAGCCAGGATTATAGCAATTGTCTCAGTCATGGTCATCCTAATCTCTATAGTAAGTTTCTGTTTGGAAACTTTGCCTGTGTTCCGTGATGATACTGAAGACATACATGGTAGCAGTAGCAACCCCAGCCCTTATTCCAACAGCACAATGAGGTCTCAACAGCAAACATCTTTCACAGACCCCTTCTTTATAGTAGAAACACTCTGTATAATTTGGTTCTCTTTTGAATTCCTGGTAAGATTCTTTGCCTGCCCCAGCAAAGCTGGGTTTTTTACCAATATCATGAACATCATTGATATTGTTGCTATTATTCCTTACTTCATCACACTTGGCACAGAGCTGGCTGAGAAACCAGAAGACGGCCAACAAGGTCAACAGGCTATGTCTCTTGCTATCCTTCGAGTGATCCGCTTGGTGAGGGTGTTCAGGATTTTCAAACTTTCCAGACACTCCAAGGGATTGCAAATCTTGGGACAAACTCTTAAGGCCAGCATGAGGGAGCTAGGCCTCTTGATATTTTTCCTCTTCATTGGTGTCATCCTGTTCTCCAGCGCTGTCTATTTTGCAGAGGCTGATGAGAGTGAATCTCAGTTCCCAAGCATTCCTGATGCTTTTTGGTGGGCTGTGGTTTCCATGACAACAGTTGGCTATGGAGACATGGTCCCCACGACCATAGGTGGAAAAATAGTTGGCTCCTTGTGTGCCATTGCAGGTGTACTAACAATTGCCTTACCAGTGCCGGTTATAGTGTCCAATTTCAACTACTTCTATCACCGTGAGACAGAAGGAGAGGAGCAAGCTCAATACTTGCAAGTAACCAGCTGCCCAAAGATCCCTTCTTCCCCTGACCTAAAGAAAAGCAGAAGTGCCTCCACTATTAGTAAGTCTGATTATATGGAGATACAAGAAGGTGTGAATAATAGCAATGAGGACTTTAGAGAGGAGAACTTAAAAACAGCCAATTGCACCCTAGCTAACACAAACTATGTTAATATAACTAAAATGTTAACTGATGTCTAGCTAATAAAAAGGAGAGAACCCTAATAATACACCTAAAATTCGAGTGGAACATTTGCAGATGTTGCATAATACTTTGCACTGTAGTTAATACAATATGTTCTGCAACATGTATTGGTTCTGCATGGAAAGCAATAGTTGTGTAAGTGACTCTTTTAAACACTGAATGCTGAATAAGCTTTCATGCAATTTTTTTTTCTAATACAGATTTCTGGGTTTCCAAATATATCAAACGTTTAAGCAAAACTATGTCACAATATCAGATGAATGGCATTGAAGAAAAACAAACCTACACCTCTTCATGTCACCAACAGTTATTCACAGATGCCAATCAGATAAACATAATTTAAAATATAGAACTCAGCCCATGCAAAAGAATATTTATTCCAAGGAAATAGTATGCAATTATATAGCTTTCAAGCTTCAGAAATTATACAAAAGGTCATGCATGGTTTAATTAAAGGGATATTTGTCCAAATTACTTTTTAAAGTTCAGTTTTCCATATCAGAAATTCCAGTGAGAGAGACCGTACCATGCAGGTTGTGCTTCTGAACCAAAAATGCTGCATTGGATACATCTACTGCAGCATGTCAGTGTGAGGATTGCAGGAGGCACTGTTTAGTAGGATTTTTTTGTTGTTGTTGTTTCTTTAGTAGAGACTCACCAAGATCCTGGAGACATTTGTTTTTAAAAAGCATACATTTTTGTTGGGGGGGGGGTCACCTACATATGCAGAACTGAAAAGCATATTGTTTCAAATGCTGGAGTAAATAAGCTGTGGCCTAGAATATATTTATTCTGCAGAGACATTTAACCAGTATTACAGTACAGCTGCATGGATATTTGTTGCATGGTTCTTAATATTTATTACATAAAATATATCTATTTTCTTAAGTAGACTATAGAGTATACTTGTTTATAGTGATTCTAGATTGTCCTGTGGCTTGAAGGAAATTCATGGACATAAAAAACAAACAAACAAACAAACTAAAGCAATTGAGTTGGGGAAGGATGTATGCTGACCAGAAATGTGATATGCAAGAAAAATGCCCAAAATGTTTGCTTGCTTGAGTAGGCAAACCAACTAAGGTAATATGAATCATATACATCACATATATCAAAAAATGGTAATGGATTCGTTGTGGTGTCATATATAGAGACATGGCTGACCAGAAATGGGAAAAAAATATTTGTAATGAAAGGATCTCTGGTGACAGTGTCAAACAAATGTTAACTAAACATTTGATATTTAAATATAAAAGATTGGAGCACACAAAGATTGCTTGAAGTATTTAACTTGCAGAACCTTGAGATTCAAAAGTAAGATGCAAAGGTACAGCATACCTTCCTCTCAATCTGCATTAAATCTGGTATGTAGTCTGAAATATATTTTCAGAAGAGGGTGTGTTTATGCAATAAAGCCAACCCAAGGTCATTGATTTAGGTACAGAATAGCTTTCCTTTGAAAATATCCTAATAGAGCTGCAACACATGGCTATAGCAGAGGAAGAGTTGACCATATCTTAATATGTGCCAATGTGCAGCTTGAAAGTTGATGTTTCCTTTCGAATGTTCTCATGCAATGGATTCATTGTTCTCAAGATTAGAGTAAAAATGGTCTATATTTGGCTCTTATAATCTTTGGAAAAAAACACCCAAGTGTAACGCGATAAGAGAACTTTGGCCAACTTCACACCTCAAGCTGGATTAACTGCTTTCCATTAAGGAGGCAACGGCTTCTTCTACATGGACCTCTCTTCATAGGTTGGCATCTTGGATTTGTGCCCTGTTGATGCTGCAGTTGCAACTCTCAAGGGTCTGGATAGTTCTTCAATAAAAGGCAACTCTGCAATCAATGTTCCAGGAAAAATGCATCTGAAACAAATAATAATGAGATAATGATGCCTGTGAGCAAATCCTCTGCCCATCACTTGCAAATCCTATACTGCCTTGTGTGATTTGGCCTTGAGTTTGTTTGAAGACTCACGACAGCTCCAAATTCTGAGCTGCTAAATATTTACCGACATAATGCATTCAGATATCTTTGATGCTGGTCTAGACCTTAGAAAATGGATTGCAGCAACTGAAATTCCCAACAGGAATAGGCAGTTAGAGCCTGTAAGTGATTTTGCTTTACTGATCCTATTCCTGCATTGACATGAATGAATGCACTAAGGAATACATCACATATTGAAAATATGAACTGAGTGGCTCTGTAAAGAATTTGGCATATGATAATGAGGTTGTATAGGTGTTTATGCCAGAAAACCAAGTTGCTAGCAGTCCACTCAGTTCACATTTACCCATTGTGCTACAGCTCAGCTCATGTTCTACAATTTTGCATGGGAATATAGATTCATCTGCAAACTGGATATGTGCCAAAATAGTCATCCTGATTGCTTATAGGTGTGTTAAACTGTATAAATCCATGCAACCTGAATAATCAACAAGTCTCTTGGTTGATTCTGAGTGATATCTGTTTTTATGTCAAGAAGGAAATATATCACAACAATCTGATTTTAAACAGATTTTAAGAAATATATAAAATAGGTTTTACTGTTCCAAGAAGGACTTTTTTCAACCTGTAAGAAAGCTAACATTGAATATAGCTGAATCAGTCTAGAGCTGAGTATTGTTTAAATAACAATTGCTAAAACTTTGTTTACAATAGTAACAATAGTTTTGCCTGAAAAAAATCTGAACAAAACTCAAATTTCTTGGTCTTTTTCCTACTCCTACTCCAGACAAAGAAAGGTTATTCCATTTCATTTTGTAATGAAGACTGGAAGAAAATAACTGAATAATATAACATGGAATAGTTTGAGAAGCGTTACTAACTCTACAATAAGATCAGGAGCATTGGTGTTTGTGAGGTAATTTTGGTTTCCCCTTTATGTCAATGGTAATAACGTGGACCATTATTACAGGATAATGACAAATACCTTTGGATCACATCTCAAAAAATCTCTATGCTAAATATGCCGTGAATTAAAAAAGCTAAGTTTGGAATAACCTTCATTGTAGTGAGGAGGAATAGAATAATCCTTCCTATTACCTCAAGCTACTGTCAAAAATATTCTTTCTTTTCCACTGCCACCCCCCCCCCATAAGGGAAGAAATATACTTGGTTAAAGATCCAAGCTGGTCTGTCATCTACAATTCAGCAAATCAGTCTGTGCAAAAGTGTAGGGGAAATAGATTAATGTCAGGAATTCTCACAGTTTAATTCACATGTCAATATGGAGTAGAGTTCCTGGGGTTTCCGAGAACAAGAAGACAAAACCGAGGACATCTGTCTAATAGAATTATGAGAAGGAAGTCCAGTTCCACAGAAGGGAAAATCATTAGAATTCTTATTCCAATGCTATATTAGATGAACTAGATGAATTTACCATTTCACTGAAATTAATTTGTTTCAGTATTTGATTTTGTGCATTATTCAGTCTGTTTTCATGGCTTTCCTTTTGTTCTGTCTGGAATGGTAAAATTTTGCTTTTTAATTCCTCCAAATAATGATTGTTTTAGTATTGCAATTGTACACTACTGGAAGCAAAGTATCAAACAGTGGACTCTGGTGAAGGCTACCTTGAATGGGCACCAGAGTCTGACTGCATACAAAAAAAAATTAGTGGCATGAAAAGTTAAGAGGTGCAGTGGCACCACATTGCAAATGTGCAAAAAACCCCATTCATATGAGTTCATGTTAAAAAATGTAGTTGGGATAGTTAGTTGTCCTGATTATTCCATCTCATTCAACTATTCTTGACTATGCATCTGGATAGATGTTTTATTTGTAGATCAGTCAGCTTGAGGTTTCAATATAGTGACTTTACAAAAGTTTCCATAGGTTGGCCAAGCTCCCACTAATTAAATACACCTGTTTGCCTGTGCACTGAAGTATTTTTCTGTAGGATTTTTCTCTAGTCATTTATTTAAGATTGAAGAATTCCAGATAGGTTTAGTACTGTGTTCTTGTTCCAAAGAACCTGTTCCAAAGAGCAATAAACCATACAAATTGCTCTGCATGGATGATAACAACTTGGAATATCTTCATAGGAGTCTCACATTGGTGATGTAAATATGTATGAGAATTCTATTTTCTAATTTCTGTTAGAGTCAACATGTGGAACATTCCCCTAATCTCTACTATTCTCTGCATTAATCAGATTTCTACAAAAAGGGCAACTGAGACAAGAATAGATAGGAAAGGAGAATGAATTAGATTGGAAAGGAAGAAAGAGTAGAAAAAAAAGACTTCATGTAAATTGAAGTTCTCTCCTTGTTCACCAGTCCTCTCAAGTAAACCAGACTAGATGAACTAATTTTACTTTATTGTAAGGCTACATTAATAGAATATTGCAACTCTGAAAATACAAACTTTGCACTGCCATTCTTAACTGCTTAATCCGTTTGGGCAGGTCCTTCCTAAGTTTCTTTGTCTGATCATTAAGTCACTGGGGGCTCCTCTTTCTCTTGTCTGATTGTTTCCTATGCAGCATCTCTTCTCTCTTTCCCCCAAACTCATCCATATGTTCCATTACATAGATATAACACGATCCATGAAATAACTTATTTCTGAATATCTTGAAAAAGAACTTGCATACTCTTGCAATGTCCAAATCCCACGTGGCTGTACAATAGAAGATAACCCTCTTATTCTTCACACACTTGGTAGCTGAGTATTCATCTTCAGAAATGGCCCCATTTCTAAATCCTATTGAAACTTGGGTCATATCAAGTACTATAACAAACTTGTTGCAGTTAGCATCTGAATCCTCAATATTTTATTATTATTTTTATACTAACCAGTGAATGTGCAGATATAAATAATGTTTGTTCCTTAAAACCACTTTTGTATGCATCAGGATAATGTAAGAAGAAGTGAAAGCAAATAAAATATTTCAGGGTAACAAAATTTCATTTATATTCATTACATCATTCAGCCAATCATACCCTCATCGTAGATACTCTATAACATTCTCTCTCTTATTCACTTTTTCATCTATTGTCAGCAATTGTTTTCTAAATAAATTTCAGGACTTTGTAAATATGCCAGCTTGGGAAAAGTGTAAAACTTATCAAAGTATGCTTCTTAAGTGCTTACTAACATTCTTTGCTCCTACATTCTCTCTATAAACCAAATAGGCCTGAACAATATAGGGTGCATTCTGTGAACCTCTCTTAATTTTGGGATTAAAAGATAAATTATACATGGGAGAGCCACGTTTTACAGGGGGCGGGAATAAAAGAAAGGGTTTTCTTTGTTTCTGCCCTTAGAAACCATCCCAAAATGTGCAGAACTAATTTTTGGTATTAGTTCCTACCAACATGGATAGCTATGTTATAGTAGTCCTTCAGCCATATTTGATAATAATGGCTATCATTCTTATCACTGGCATTGGTTATGCTGGCTGGGGATGATGAGAATTGTAGACCACTCAAAAATTATTAGACTAGGGAAGGATGCTCTATAGCAGGGGTGTCAAACTGCCAGCCTGCAGGCCGGATGCGTCATGACAAAACCACGCCCACCCCATTGCCAGCAATGGAAAAAAAGTCACGATACATCGCAACACATCATGTGATGTTGCAAGTTTGACACTACTGCTCTATAGAATGAGATTGATGGACATCCTAAGAGCTGAATGTCCAGTTTGGGTACCCATTTTTGTTTCAGATATAAAAGGTACTTATATTTATTTAGTGAAATAAACAAACAATCACAGGAGTCTTCCAAAAATGTAACATATATCTAAATATGTAATACATATTTAGAATTGGGGCCTCCTATTTTTAATACAGTAAATTTCCATTTCTTACTCATTTGATGTTAGATATTATCCTTAAGTGATGCACTCCAAGTTTATACTATAATTTACCCAGGTACAAAAATGTAGTATTTTAAAAATGGAAAAATGCTTTTCTGTAACCTCATAATGACTCTGGCATAATTGTAAGTTTGAGAAAAGTTATATATAAGCACCATACAAGAACATTGGATTTTGCTCAGGCAGTGAGTCTTGTTGAATAAATTTGGATATGCTACTGTTGTATTTTAATTGTGTTTTCTGAACTGTGGCAGAAAAACTAAAAAGCAATCATGCCACATAATATTTAGCAGGATAATCCTTTTAACAGCATCTTATTAAACATTAAAATTAGCAAATCTAATAATGTACCTAAAGTTACAGACTTTAGATTGGCAAAGCCAAAAGAAAAATCTCTTAATATATAAGCACAAGACGTCAAAATCTCTTAAAATGAATAAATAAAACATAAAAATAGTCCCCCTCTCAAAAAAGGGAAGGGGTAAGAGAATAAAGAATTTATACTAAGGGCAGTTTGATGATAAACTAATCAACGTCTACAAACTCTTAGCAGCTATTAGAAGATGTATATATACAATGTATATACAACCTGAAAGGTAGCAGGAATTGTCTTAAGAAAGTCATGTTTTGTACTTAAATCATTAATTTACTACTCAAATATCCCAATCTTTCTAAAGTTTGCAATACACTAGAGAAGGGGCCAATCTGCAAAACAGATCCAGCTATTTATATAAAGTTCAAGGGGCTGAAACATGACTCTTTTATTTTCCAACACTGGAGAAATGTATAAAGCTGAGCTCCATTCTCTATTTTGTCAAAAATGGGTAATCCAATTCCCCTTGGTCATTGTGTGAATTCTGATCTGGATCTGAAGTTTGCAGTTTGCGCCCCATCACTAGTCTTCCTGTTACTATGCAGTGAAATCTAATTATGAACTAAGGCATTTATTTGTTTGCAGACCACCTTTGACATTTAAGTAGTTTTCCAATTTCTCAGCTCCTTAGTTCTCTTCCATTCTAGCTATGAGCATAGTAAGAAAATTACCCTTCAATAGGAAGATTAATTTCATTTGATCCATAAATAGAATGAGTGCCTGTCGAAGGCACATGTTTTTGGTTTGAAGATCAGAAGCAAGGAGGAGGCAACAGAGAGAGACCTAAAAGAATGTGGAGATTTCTCAAGGGCCTAAAACCAAGGTGACCAAATCTGGGGTGCAAAAATTTGGGGGACCACTATCTCAACAAAAGAGAGTTACAGCTTTCGGATTCTCTTTGCTGTCATCTAGTGGTCTACTAGATTGTGCAACTTACATCTGGCAGCCTTACCAAAAACATGACACTTTGGTGCCTCCTCTGTGGAACTAAACTCATTGTGGCATAAGCATTCTTGGATGAAAGCCACTTCTTTGTATGCATATTTTAAAGTGGGCACTGGCTCAAAGAAAGCACATGCCACAATGCATGGCTAGTCTTGAAAATGCAATATTTTTTTTTTGTATCCTCTCCTTCAACTCACTACCGTGCTTGTTATGTTTTTACATTATTTTACATTAAGGTTGCAGAATGAAATCTTTTTCAAGCACAAAATACAAACAGCCTTTTGTGTCTGATTTAGGGTCCTCTAAGATTTTTGCAAAGCACACATCCAGATGCTCAGGTGTCCTTTTATTGAAAAGTTCTGATCACCAGCCCACTCTGCAGAGCTCTCTGTCCATTTGGTCAGATTCTGCTTAATGCTTTTTCAGTGGATTGTAATGCTTCAACCTAAGCTAAATCTAATGTGTATATCTTCCTTTCCTCACCATTGCAGAAAAGATGGGGAAGTTCTTCTAATGCTTCTCCACTATTTTATTTTCATCACTGTAATGAACGCCTTATTCACTAGAGCAGTGTTTCTCAACCTTGACACCTTTAAGATGGGTGAACTTCAATTCCTAGAATCCCCCAGCCAGCATGTTGGCTAGAGAATTCTGGGAATTGAAATTCACCAATCTTAAACTTGCCAAGTTTCAGAAACACTTCATTAAAGTCTAATAATTAATCTCTTGCTATTTCATTTTAGGGCTACCATATATAGGCTGCAAAAATCAGGATGATGACTAGATGCAGCAATAGGACTTAGGAAATTCTTTTTGCTGCCATTTGTTGGTAGTCTAAATTTTTGCACCAAAATACAATAGCTCTATTCTGATGTCACAGCTGAATTTCAATATAGCCGGCTTTCTTAAAAACCAACTTTTCTATTTTCTCTTCCTAAATTTATTACTGCACATGGACCTGCAGATTGCAATATAAATAAAAGAACAAGATTTGGTTTGGTTTCGGAATATCTATGATAATTTACCCCATCCCACAATTTAGCTTATGAAAAATGTTAAGGTGATAAGAGGCAAATGAATTCCTTAGCTCCTATTTATCTTTTCGGGTATATTTTGGCTGCTATGAGATGTCTATGTACTATTAAGAATTTAATTCCAAAAACTATGCGTAATGTGTAAATATGTAACAAAATTGTGTGTATTCCAATTCTTTCAAGATTTGTAAGACTGTTTTTCTACCGAGTGCAAGGAATGTTATTAGCCAAGTGCACCTGCTTCCCTGTTATCTAAGGTACTGCAGATGTCCTACAAACTCATATTACTAATTATTGCTTGAAATGTGAAAGAGAAGGACAATGGTTCAAATAAGTATGTGTTTGCCTTATTTAAGAGAATCAATAAGAAAAAGGAAATCCAAGAAAAATCATAATAAACATGCCGTGGAACTGAATCTTTTGTTTCCATGGTTACTGGAAGAATGGGACCAATAATGGTGAGAGGATGCTAAAGAAAGAAAACTCAGGGGAATGTTGAATCATTTAACGATGTGTTTGCTTGATTAAAATGCAGACATCAGCCACATTTAAACTGCACAATAGAACTTATTGTTAATGAAGAGAGCTGAAATATTCTCTGCCACTAAGATGTATTTGTACATCTTATTGTACACAGCCCTAAATTTTGTGTGTGTGTGTGTGCATGTGTTTCCTATATGGACTTTTGCTGTTTGGTTGATCATGTGTGTACAAAATATATTCTTCACAGAATATCACCAATTTTGGAAATGTCAACCATCCCAGTTAAAAATAAATATTTCTGTTACAAAGAATACATTTTGTAACTAAAAGGAGGACAAGAAAGAAGAGAGAACACAGTGACAGAATTATAGTCAGATTAAGATTTAAAGAAAAAAAGAAAATTTCTTCCTCACAAGTCTTCATATATTTATTCCATTGTAATCTGACTTTTCTAACATGTTTCTGCTGCTAATGATAATTATCTGATAATATAATTTGTAAGCCACCAGATTGGTGGCTTACAAATTCCTACAGGGTGTCATGTTAAGGATATTGGATAGGATTGTTACACGGTATTCCTTTTCTGGCACCTAGTACAATTGGGTGTACCTAAGTCAATATTAACTGGTATACAATATAATGCATGAAAGACACCAGAGAATGGCTATTGAAGTCCCTTAAATATTTCAACCTTTTTCATCATGGCACTCTCCACAACTTTCATAATCCTGAGTCAGAATAACCATAGGCCAGGGAATGCCTGGGGATGATGAAGTCATTTTCACAGAGCTGAACAGTATGACTTGATTCCTTATAACTGGCCATTCATATAACTGGTTTAAAAGCAAGTTAAGCTGCTGGTTTAGAAACCAGGCGATTGAGTAATAGGCCTCCGTTAGATATGAAAGCTGGCTGGGTGAGTCTGGGCTCATCATCTCTCTCAGTCCAATCCACCTCACAGGATCATTGTTGTAGAGAAAATGAGGCAAGAGTATGAGGTATGTTTGCCACTTTGAGTTATACAAACCTTCTCTGAATGTATATAAAAAATTAAAACATAATTTTTATGTTTATACTGATATGTGTCTTGCTATTTCTCAGACTTTCTTTCCTTCTGAGAAATAAGTTCTTGTTTTTCTACCTTATTTCTATGTATATATTCTGGGTGATACTCCTGAAATTATTGTTGGGCAAAGTGGAATGTGAATGAGTGTTGTGTTTTACATTGCACAGCTTCCTATCACTTTGAGGCTTCATTGATTGCCCATGTTTCTCAGTAAAATTTTTTTGAAATTGTCATCTTTCCCTAGGATGTCTTTCCTTGGGGCTTAATTTGACCTGCAGGCTACAAGAAGGTTGATTATATAACATCATTCATACAGTTTCTGAACGATATTCATATTAAATATGGACAAGAAATTTCTAAAGGAAATTATATTCCATCAGACCGAATGAAAACTACTTGGGGACAAAAATAGGGTATATGTTCTACTGAGCAAAATTATTTATTAACTTGTTTCAAGGGTCCTATCTCTCTTCAGGGTTTCCTACAGCAAAAGTGCTAGCATACGACAACACCATTGTTTCCCATATCACCACAAATTAGAAAAGAAGATAGCCTGTCATTCACGTCTGAAAAGCAGAAATTGATCTTACCCATTTTATAAAGTTATCTCCAAGTTCATATCTTCCAAAGGTAATATAAGATAAACTATGATGCTGACTAGCTGTGGAGTGCCATTCCAAATGAAAGTATTAAGGGCACAAAAAGATAAAACAGGAAAAAAAGGGAGGGGAACGTTTATTTTACTCTTTCCCTTGCAATTGAGATACTTTCAGTATGGAAATATATTATAATGGCAGAAAACTGACAAAAACAGCAGAAGGACGGAGAGAATCATTATAGCAACTTGCAGAGAGAGGAATTACATCAGATTTATTTCTGAAAATGTTTGAGGAATTAGGCAATAAGTTAGCAATATCACTTGATACTAAATTGACAGCTTTTGAAGAAAAGAATGGATTAAAAACTTGTAAAGATGAAAGAAGTTAAGAAGATGGAAAGCTCTGTAAAACAAGTGTCTGGAGATGCAAAACAATTTAATGACAAAGCGGAAATTTGGAATTTAAGACAGAAGTTATAGACAGAGAGTCGGGAAAGAGAACCAGATAACTTGCTCTACTGAAATTAAGAGAGAAGAAATTTTATTTGAGATTTAGGGCATCTCAGAAGATTCTGGTGAAGATATCAGAGAGAAAGTTATAATGTTTTAAAATAATGTTTTAAAATTATTTGTTGGACCAGGATGAGGAGGATACAGAGGCAGCAATTGATAAAAGTATGTAGAATAAATGCACATTTGCAAGAATAAGAAATGTTCCAAGGGGTGTCTTGGTGCACTTTGTCAAGAAGAACACAAGATATCAGGTTTTACAGCAGCCTTTAAATACAGGACTGAAGATTGATAATATAGATGTAATTGTTCATAGAAATAAATTGTTATAGTATTAGGATTTTGCATAAGGGAAAAGCATGTTCTTTTTTAACAGATAGATTAAAACAGAAAAAGAGGATGGGACAAAATGGAAGGAGTAATTTTTACTTTTAAGTAGCAGATGTTTCAATTGAACTCTCTTAAGAAGGTGAATGAACTTTTAGTAAAATTTGAAGAGGAACGGGGGAGATTCAAATAGAGGTATCAGATGAGACTACAAAAAAACTTTAATAAGAAACTTGAAAGGAATGATACTGAACTAGGTGCTACAGGAATCAACTTTTCTAAATTTTTATTTAGGGATTACAAATGTGTAATGTGGATTATATATGGAGCAAATGCTTCTCAAAAGAGAAAAAAATGTCATTTGAAAAAAATTAAACAAGATATAATTTATGTACAAGACATACTTATTATAAAAAGACAAACATTTGATTTATAAAAATTTGGGTGAAGAATTTATTTCAGAAGACACTAAATAATATGTTGCAATAGAAAGAAGAAATAATGGAGATTGTAAAAATAAATTAAAATGTTTTGAAAATAATTTAGATAAAGATATTGATTTAAAATCGTTTAGGATGCAAGTAAAGCTTTTATTATTATTTTATTCAATGCAATAGTGAATTCAAAAATAAGAGCCAGGGAAAACAAGCTATTTTGGATGAGATAAAGTGAAGGGACAAAAAAAAGAACAATTTAGAAAATTGCCAGAGAAGACAAGTATTTCTTAACAAATTAAACTTTTATAATGATAGCTATCTATGTCAACAGTAAAAGAAATAGAAAAAAATGAACTATTTTTTGCAAACAAATTGGGGAAGTGGCTGCCATACAACATTACAAAAAAGAAAAGAAAAGAAATTATACTGAAATTTCAAGAGGAAAATACTGTATTAATACTGTATGGCTACACAAATATCATAAATATTATTCTAACTTGTCTAAAGGAAGTAACATCTCTCTGGAGAAAATAGGTGAATATCTAAAGAAACAAAATTTACCAAGGATTACAGAGGAACAGAAATGGATTATGAATCAGCCTATAACAATAAAGGAAGTTTCTGAAGCTATAAAAAAGATTAAACCAGGAAAGGTGTCTGACCAGATGGATTATGAGCTTATTATAAATGCATTGAAAATGAAATTTTACAACCTTTGCAAAACAGAATAAATTCTATCTTACAGGGAGAAAAGAGGCCAGAGTTGGAAAGAGGCCAATATAGCACTAATGCCTAAAAAGGGACAGATTTGACTTTAACAAAAAACTATAGGCTGACACCATTAGTGAATGATGATTACAAGGTGTTTACAATGATTTCCAGCTAATAGACAAAAAATAATTGTTTCAAGAATTCACAAGAATCAATGTGGGCTTTTACCTAAAGACAGCTAAAGGACAATATTTGAAATGTGTTGGACATTTTGGAATATTTGGAACAACAATGAAAAACAAGCCACATTGGTTTCTTTAGATGCAGAGAAAGTCTCAGACAATTTAAGTTTAATTTATTTATAGTTTCATTGGTGGAGAAGCAATAGAAGACAAATTAACCTCTAAAAAAGTAAATAGCATTAGCTAACCTCTGATCTCCACAGAGTCAACCGTGAGTACTCAGCTGTTAGTTTATCAAGCCCCAAACCCATAGCATCTCCCTTTCTGCCTTTGTCTTACCTCCTACTCTATCTATCCAAATATCTGTTATTATTTTTCACCCATTTAACTTGTCTTGACCCTTCTTCCACCTGAAAGAGAAAATAAAGATAAATCAACTTCTTGAGCCACTTCCTTGCTTTTTTATTTCTTTATCTATACATTTCCTTTAAAAATGTGTCTGGCAACTTTGCCTGTGTGAAGATAATCTCCAGCATGCTTCAATTACATTAACTCACTCTTGTTCAAACCCTCAAGCAGTGGGCTGTGCCACAGAAATGATTGTTAGAAGCCAGGGGCCCAATCAACTTTTTTCTTCTTATCTTACATTTGGCTCACTCAAACGGAACATGACACATGTTATTTCTGCTTCCATATTCTGATATTTTTCCAGATCACATTTATAACAGTTGTGTTTAACATTCAGTAGCTTTCCCCTTTTGTCTCTGCTAGCAGGTTTCTGAATGGTGGATCCTCCTGCCAATTTGTCAACCACTGCAGTTCTTCACTGCCCCAAGATCTTCATCTTCCATCCAGTTCTTGTATCTGCTCAGCTATTATAGTTTATATGCTCTGTAGATGTGTTTCTGGGTCAGATGTACACTGCTGCTGCTGCAGCAGCTAACCATGTGGGAACCCCAGTGCTTTCATTAGCTGCATGCAGTAGGACTCTAAAAGATCTACAAAGATCTACATGTTGATTTTATATTCTTCACAGATTATGCTGCCTCAAGACTCAATTAGTAGTTATTTCCATTGCCTGAAGATCTCAGTTTGTTACTGATTTTGCTGTAAAGTTCACTGCATCTGCTCCAGAAACACAACTATTTGTCTCCATTCTTGCTCATGTACTTTGATTCATAATGGTTCTTCTGGAAAACATATTGCCATTTTTGGAGGAGCAATTTACTTGTGTATACCCAACGTCCAAGTAATGAGAAGCTTTAGGGGTTGTAGTTTCCATGGAAAATGTTCACAGGAGTTACATATTTTTTAGGATAAATTCTTTTCACACATACTGTCAAGAATTTCCCACAGAGAAATTCCTCCCTTAGACCCAAGTCCACTATGGAGCAATTTCTTGATAAACACTGATATTGTGCTCATCTCCTTTTCTTGTCTAGTGGGTAGGAAGGAAATGAGTCATCTCCATCCATCACCTGTGCCATACTATTTCCCATTGAAACACATCAGCATAATGTTGACTTTTGTCAAGTCTATTTGCACAAATCTTAAAGAATCAAGATCTATAGAAATGGATTCTGTGGGATCTCCCTGACTAACCTCCACCATTTTTAAAAATCAAAAGCTAATATAGAAGTAAATAAGTTAAATTCATGAAAGTGGGGAAGAGAGGAGAAAGAGAGATATAAGTTTCAAGGTAACCTTTCAGACGAAAAGATAACTGGTTATTGAATAAATGATGTACTGTTCCTCTTGCTGTACAAACAAATCAATATCAGTGTTATGATGAGCTATAGTTTTTTTTTCTGAAGAAAAGTGCCTCATGTTGTTTTCAGAACTGTTGTAAATCCACAGTAACATCACTGCTTTCTTCAAAGTAAACCTTTGGATTGAACAAATACTTTCTGAGAACCTGAACAGAGATGCCTTTGCAGCAGCATCACAACTACAGTCTGTCTAAAAGAAGGAGACACACCAGGATAACTAAATGAGAAAGAGCATGTTTTGCTTACAGAACCTGATAGCAGTTTATCATACTACTGTATGTAAATCTTCTAATCACAAGCCACTTTGTATCCAAGAAGCATCTTTAGGCTTTCAAGAATGTCTTTATTTGTTCATGAATAAGCCTCATTTAACTCTTTGTGATTGCATTCTATGTAAACCTAGTGAGAATTATTCCACAATAATTGTAACTATCCAGTATCCTAGAGTGGAATTGGATTTATAGTGAATACCGTACATGGATATATTTATGCAGTTTTCTTGACAACAGTATGGAACTGGTTTGTCCTTCCCTTCTTCCGAGATGTTTTTGAATATTCCAAGAATATCCATTGCCTGATATTCTTCCATCCAAATATTAACTTGAAATCTATATCTATATTTATACCTATGTCTGTATCTATACCTACATATCAGATACAGCCTCAGATCTTTTCAGAAAATTCATAGTTAACACTAACAGAGATGAGCAAATACTCAGCAGAATAACTACTGATTCTCAGTATTTCTAATATTATATGAAGGAAATTGAAACAGCATGTATTTCCCAGCAATATCAGTCAAAAGATATTCATTGAAATTTAATTTTAAAATACTACTAAGGTGTGAAAGTCCTAATAGTTAATGATTAGTTATCCCTGTGGAGGGGACTTAAATTTTCTAGTTTTTTTCTAACTTTTTATACTTTTATATTGATTAATGAGCAATTGCACTCATTACAAATATTTAAGATAAATAGGTTCCAAATCTGACATAATGATGCAATAGTAATTAGTTAATTTCCACATGACCATGGAAATGTCTTCAGACAATGCCTCAGCTAAGAAATCAGGCAGGGGAAACTTTACGTTTAACTTTATATCTTATTACTCTTATTACCCCTTATTATCCCCCAATAGATTTTGGGGAATGTATACTTGATATCCTGAGTTCCAAAATGTATACATCAGTGGCTTGGGCTTTCAAGGGCTAGCAAGTCCTTGCTCACTGCCATTTTAATCTACTCTTGTCTTGTCCCCTTACTGGCTTGATTCTAAGACAGTTTAGAAAAAGCCTGTCCAGACTGAGATCCTTTGGCAGCAGCTTACAAGGTATTCAGTCTAAACTGCTGACTATCAGCTATTATGACTGGAAAATTCCCTTGCTGCTGTGTCTTTTCTGTTTCAGTTGTTTCCCTTCCTGTGGGCAGCTTCAGAATTTATTCTCATATATGAAGCTGAAAACTTGACTTGTAATTTAATCTCACTTGAGATTAACATAAAGCTTCAGGGTTCCGCTGTAATAAAATTTATCTTACATTTTCAGTTGTGTCAGGCTTTAGGAAAAATGAATTGCCTAGAAACAAGGGTAGGTTTCACCCCAATAGCTCATTAGGGTTGTATTATTATAGCAGAACTTGATCATGGTTATTATTAAGGATTATATAAGGTTTCATCAATAAGGGTCTTCTACAAACCCAGTTTGACTAATGGAAGCCCATACCCTCATGAACCTATAAAGCTTTCCGGATTTATTAAGGGTACAAAAAAAGAAGAGTCAAAGATCTAACTTGGAGGGGATGCAATCATTTTAATTATTTTATATAAATAAATTTATTTACTTATTTTTCATAATTTATTAGCCTTTTTCTAATCTTGAATAGGTACAGTTGTTGGTAGCAGATTGTTTCCTCAGACAATATTAAGGCAATATGAAGTTCATCTCCATGGCTAGAAAGCTTAGAAGCAGTTTTTAATGGTTCATTTGTACGCTGGCTTATGAAGTTCATAAATGTAGAAGATGACATCAGTCTCAATTAAACAAGGCATAACATGAAGAGAGAGCCTGCCCTTTAAAGCCTGCCATCACACTGCTTTTGGAGAAACCACCCCTTTCAACTTCTTTTTAATATAGTATAAAGTGCCAGGGATCAGTTTCATGGAGGGTAGTTTTCCTGCGGACTGGGGGGAGGAGGGCATGGTTTCACATGTTGCCTGGATCCTGTGTGTGTGCATATGGGGACTGGTGTTGGTCTGTGGCTTGTGGGTTGGGGACCCCTGGTATAAGGGACCACCGATGCATGCATGCCCTTGATATAATTCAGCTTTCTTAAATGTTTGGGCATACTTTATCTAGCAATGAGAACATTTCCTGGGATTCAATTCAAAATCTGCTCAATAGTCATGTTCTTTATCAGTGAATGTTCAAAATTAAAAATGGGCTATTACTCAATGGACCTTTACTCAAACACATACTGTACTGTGACTACAGAAGACCTTAAGGCATCATTCTACTTGACTTCTTGGAGAGATCGCCAACCAATTGATCAACCAATCAACCAACAGCTCAACCAATCATGCTGATATCTTAACAACATGGCACACTTCATACAACACATGTTTTATCTGGATGGAAATAAAAATATTTAAAATATTTATGTAAATGAATGCTAACCCTGATAATGTAGATACTCAATAAAAAGAATATTTCTCAATCTGGTTATTATCATAGCAATCAACTACAGTTTTTTAAAAAGTATGAAGGTCATTTTTGAGAACTTTTGCACATGTATTAGAAACATCTAGTCATTGACAACATGACCACTCACATACAGAACTTTATCTAATAGTCCAAGCTAGAAAGGTATTTCAAGGTATATTCAGTTTTAATTCTTGTGAATATTTTGAGGTTATCACATTTGCAGTACTGTACCCAATGCATTTTGGCATCCTTAATAACTTAATAACTCTGGGGCTCAGCTTCTAAGAAGATGTTTACAAATTCATTTCCTTCATTTCTCCCATAATTAGAATGTCATGAACAGTGAATATGCTAGATTTCATTTCCTGAATAGTCTGGAAGCATTTTAACTGTTTTGAATATATTTTGATACCTTCTTTTGAGGAAATCACCCAAATATAACACATCAGATTATTGCTTTAGACCAGGGGTGTCAAACTCGCAATGTTATGTGATGTGTCATGACGTATTGCAACTTTTTTGCCATTGCCAGCAATGGGATGGGCGTGATTTTGCTATGATGCATCTGGCCCGTGGGCCAGCAGTTTGATACCCCTGCTTTAGACTATAAATTTATAAAACTCTACAAAGCAACTCCCAAGGATATAATCAAATCATGTTATACTATATATAAATAAGTAAATGGTCTGTATTTATTGTTATTTATACAGTATGTATACATGTCAGTTTTGGCCATACTACCTAAACATAAATTCAATTTAAATCTATTGGACTCATTTTTTCACAAAATCAAATTGCAAATCTACAAAGTGATTTACATTCCTTATCTTAATTTCCTGCATAAGTGTCATGTGATGAAACTACTAAGGCTGCAATTTTACACATGATGTATACTGCTTTAAACTAATCTAAATTGATATCAGTAAATGTGCTTCTGTCCGCAGATCAATATTGCTACAAAGAAAGTGAACCAAGACTGACTGTCATTTCTAATACGCAGGGATAGTCTTTGCTTACAATCTTGCTAAATATTGGTGGGTGTATACAGGCACATAAAAGCCCATTCTTCTACAGACTGAAAATAGGACAAGGGATTTAATATCAATAGATTTACAAGCTATTCAAATAATTTATTCCAGGCTATTGGAATATTATTCAATGGCGTTACATTACAAACCAAAGGCAACAGGCAATGAGTGGAATTATGGCATGAGACACTAACAGATTAAAGTGTAAAGGATTTTATATCCATGTACATCTTCCAGAATTGATTTGCTTCTTTGAAGGATGTGTGTGTGTGTGTGTGTGTGTGTGTGTGTGTGTGTGTGTGATTATGTAGCTATTTTGTATAACTTCCTAGTCTCCTTAGACTTGCAGAAATGTATGCATGCTAATATAATTAACATAATTAAAACATCCAAGATAAACAACAAAATGCTCTATGTTAAGAAAAAGAAAATAGAGAAGTAGAAGGTAAGTCACCCAAAGCAACAACAATATCCAGACCAATTGACTGAAGATCACCTAATCTTATTCTCCTGACACTCTTTAGAACAGTGGTTCTCAACCTGTGGGTCGGGACCCCATTTGGGGTCGAACGACCATTTCACAGGGGTCGCCAAACAAGGCTGTCCACCATTTTTCCCCCTTTTCTTTGGCCACGGCCCTGGCACCCGGTGATATATAAGTGGTTGGGGGGTCACCACAACATGGGGAACTGTATTATGGGGTCGCGGCATTAGAAAGGTTGAGAACCACTGCTTTAGAACAACAGTCAAAGAGAGGCCAGTTTCTACTCCTTCCCTCATAAAAAACATTATCTCATCTTCAGCATACCTCATCTCACCTCACATTATTGGGGAACTGTTAGCAGCTTCTACTTGGAAGAGCAAACAAGGTAGTCATTTCTGATGAGAGGAGGTGATCCTGAGGGCACCAAGCAGTCTAGGTCCATATAGTTAAAACTAGCACTTTGAATGTATTTGTTTGTTTAATTTATATGACTGCACCCTTGTCAGAGTTACTCTGGGCAATAAACAAATGTCTAAAACAGAAACCACATCATGAATGACCATTAAAACATACAACCCAACAATACAGAATAGACTTAGTAGTTGAGAATAAAAACCATCAAATCACATTAAATCATCCAAACTGTGCTAACTTTCTAACCTAGTCAAGTGTTCAGCATTTTCTAGAGGGTAAACCAGAACGAGCCCCAATCTCATCTCAGACGGTAAGGCATTCCAAAGGGCAGATGCCACAAAAGACTGGTACATAGAAGTCAACTAACGGCCAATAGTGGGCCCAGGATTATATCTTATGGCAACAAGTATCAATTAACAAGTAGGCTACTTCCTTTTGCACTAACTGCAGTTTCTGGAGGATCTTCAAAGGCAGCCCCAAATGGAGCACATTAGATTGATCAAAGTGAGTAGTGACAAGGGCATGAGTTGTAAATACAAGAACTTCCTACTGCAGATAGGACTAAAATGGTGCACCAGCCAGAGACAGGAAAAGACTTTCCTGGCTATAGCCTCTATCTACCTATTTAACACTAGCCTCTAATCCAGGGGTCTTCAAACTCAGCCCTTTTATGACTCATGGGCTTCAACTCCCAGAATTCCTCAGCCAGCATGCCTGGCTGAGGAATTCTGGGAGTTGAAGTCCATGAGTCATAAAAGGGCTGAGTTTGAAGATCCCTGCTCTAATCTAAGATGGTCCCCAAGTCACAGATTTGAGGGGTAGTGTCTGCTTATCAAGAAACAACTCCATCAGAACACTCCGTTACAACTCTTCAATTTATTAATAGCAACTTCATCTTGCTTGCTTGTCCAGATTTAGTCTCTTTCATCCCTTTGACTTATTATTTTGTATTTTTCCCATTTCTTTTAGAAAATGGATGTCCTGATAAACAGGTTTACTTTCCTTTCTGTCACTTGGGCATTTAAAAAATAGTAGATCTGCTTTCAGAAATAATCCAGTTGATAGATTATTGATAGGTAATATCCATCTACCTATTCAACAGTAGCATTCTATCACTCAGACAATTTTAAAGATGGCTAAACTTCCTTCACAGACATCCATACAACATTGCCCAAGTTTGCCCTTCCATATTCACCCAAGCCCACCCTAATAAGTGCATCATCTGTTGCCAATACCTGGCAATTGGCAGTTCTCTCCACCACCTTCCATTTCTTGGATAGACTGAATGCTGATCCTACTTCATTCAATCTAAAATGGCCCCAGACTAGTTAACAGCACTTGTAGGCTGCTGTGTGGAAATTTCTTCCCTTCTTTCTCGCATTTATCCAAATTCCTCTTTCCTCTCATGCAGTTAATTCTAAAATTGAGCAGTTAGTCAATAAAGAGCCGAGGTGGCGCAGCAGTTAGAGTGCAGTACTGCAGGCCACTTTAGCTGACTGTGTTCAGCAGGTCAGCAGTTCAAATCTCACTGGCTCAAGGTTGACTCAGCCTTCCATCCTTCCAGGGTAGGTAAAATGAGGACCCAGATTGTTGGGGGCAATGTAAATATATATGTACATTGCTTACTGGTATACACCGCTTAGAGAGTGCTTGCACTTAAAGCGGTATATAAGTCTCATAAATAAATAAATAAATAAATAAACTGAACAAAATATGCATTATCCAATAAGAAAACAGTTAAACTCAAATAATAAAAGTACTTAGCTAAAGTCGTTTCAGTAACTATCCTGTATAATTATTTTAAAACAATAAAATGTTCAGCTAAAGTAACTTCAGCAACACATCAAAGGGAAATATCTATTGACAATAAATATGTTATGTATTACATCAGTTAGTCTGGGAAATATAGCTTTCCTGAAGGCTTCTGACATGTGATTTTGGGATTATAATACTCATACTCTCTTGGACTTTTATTTCTGAGCCAAGAAATAAATGTTGTGGTGGCATTTCTTTGTACAAGCAAACAAGAAGAATCTTCAGAAGAAGACTCACTTGTGATCTGAAATATGGGGATAACCTCCCCATCACAAAATGGTGCCTCCTCTGTTAGATTGCAGACTGTAAGAGTGTGCCTAATGTTACCTAAAGACAGAGGCAAAATCAGCTAATATTAGCCAGCAAAAAAAAAAAAAAACAGTTTCATTGACTTTGATTTTATTCCTAGATGGAGTCTGTCTGAAGATTCATGCCAAAGTTGTGGAAATCTTGGGGTTGTGCCATAGTGAAGCTTGGGAAAAAAATAACACTTCTAGCATTTGTCAAGATAAGGTAGTTTAATAGAATGGAACCTGGTTAGCATTCCATATATTAGATAATAGCTTCTCGATGACAGTTATATATTTTCAGTCATGTTTCCTGTGTTTAGAACTAGCTATAAGTTAACTTGTCAAAAAATTGTTTTGTTTTTGAACATAGTATTTGAGATGTTCCAAAGAGAGAGGAATAAAGAAATCATAGCTTCAGGGTGACTAATGGCCGCACTGGGAATAGTTTTTCTTTTGTCAGTAATGAGCCTGCTAACCCATATAGCTAATTATTGTCAGCTTCAGAGGCACTCACCTGTCTAATATTCAAAGATGGATGCTGCCGCTGTATAAGTAGTAAGGAAGCTTTCTCTGTTAACATGCAAATATGAGACTCATATTTTCTGCAGTTTCATCTTTCACAAAAGCAGGTGTTTCTATATTCCCTCGGAGGAATCTTTTGTCCTGAAGTATTCAGCTTCATTATCAATCTGGAGCAGAGTCCGAACTCGTTAAGCTCTGGGTAATCTCAGAACTGAGGTTCACTGAGATTTCCACAAAGGACAAAGCAAGATACATAAATAGGTTTTCTCCTAGCACTTCTCCAAAGTGGTTCATAGAAGTTCATAGAATCATAGGGCTAGAAGGGCCATTGGAGGTCTTCTAGTCCAACCTCCAATCTTTTCTTGAAGATCTCCAACAATGGAGCAAACACAACTTTGGGAAACAAGCTATTCTATTGATTGTTCTTACTGTCAGGAAATTTCTCCTTAGTTCCAGATTG